GAAAATCAAGAAGTAATCCAAATTTTAACCATCCGACTAATTTACCAGAATGAATGTAGTCGTCGAGTAGCCTCCTTACCAGATTTTCTAATGGAATTATTTCATCTTTTTTGCACACAAATTTCTTTTTTCTATTGATTTATTTTCTTATTAGTTTTACCATGTATAATTACTTCGTTGCTCTCTCTCTTTTGTTTGGTCACGCACTTGTTAGTTGCTCATGTTGGTTCGACAAATCAGTGAAAGTTATAATTTGTTTTTTTTGCTAAAAATTGAAAGTTATAATTTCACACCAATCAGTTTGAAAAGATAGACGAATTGGGCCAACCAAAATAGTTGGTTGATTTATATTTGAAAATTTGAAAAATTGCCCCATATTGAAATTGAGTTTGTCCCAATACAGTTTTCTCATTTTTTGCCATTTTTACCTATATTACCCTTAGACAAAAAAATAATAATTAGAAATAAATGGTTTTTAATTTTTTTTTAAAATACTATAATTACAAAAACGTAAAGATATGCATTTTCATATATTGAAATATTTTTAAAGTTCACAAAAAAAAACTAAAAAATAATTTTATATTTTTTCTCTACGTCTTCCAGAATGTACGTTCTACCACTAGTAGCTCTACGGACTCGTAAATTATTGGTTATGTCTATTTCATTAGTATCTACCGAGTTGTAGAAAATGTGTTCTTCGTCTACGTCTTCACAGAATGTTTCTTCCACTGTTTGCAATATCATCTACCATATCTAGAATACGCATTCTACCGAATTGTCTATCATCTATCGCATCCAAAATATAAATTCTACCATATTGTATATCCTTTACTGAAATTAGAATGTGTTTTCTACTTAGTTAGTTATAAATTCCTTAAATCTAAGATTTTAAATACTGTGAATATTCTATTTTCTTTAAATGATTTTTTTGAAGATATTTTCCTAAAATGATTTTTTAAAATATTTGTTCGAAAGAATCGAAACAACAGAAAGTTTTGTTAATAATTTAATCATATTCGCAAAGAGGATAACGAATGATCAGTGAGTCG